AAGGGAAAGGGACTGGGGAGGATGGGAGGGATGGGAGGAATAAGGGTGGGGAAAAAGAAAGAGGGCATTATGATTAGCATGTATAGTGCGTGGGGGGTACAGGAGGGCTGTGCAACACAGAAAAGACAAGTAGGATTTTATACCATCTTACTATGCAGATGGACAGTGACTGTGAAGGGGTATGTGGGGGGAACTTGGTGAAGGGGGGAGCCTAGTAAACATAATGTTCTTCATGTAATTGTAGATTAATGATACCAAAATTAAAAAAAATAAATACAGAGCTATAATCAGAACATACATTTCTTGACTCTGAATCCATTATTCTTTCTAATACCAGTCTTGATGCATTATTGCCCTGAAACATTTTCTCTGAGTCTGATGGCCTTGGGCAACTGAACCTTTGGTCTCCGGTGTTTTAGCCAAGGGTTGTAATTAAATCTAGAATCTTCCATTCCACACCATCAGTAGTAATGGAGACAGGCTTTGTCAGAATGAATCACAGTGCTGAATGAGGCCTTAGAGATCTTCTCAATCGGAAGTTTTCAAAAGTTTTTTTAACAATGAAACCCTTTGTTTAAATATGATTTATGTAGCAGTTTAATATATAAAGCAGTTTTTTTTTAAGAAAGAGATAATCTAACTAAAATGAGTATTAGGGGCCCTGAACCACTACATACCCCTACGTCCCACTTTTACCATAATACAATCAGTAGGCTTCTAAGAAGCACCGCAATTTAAATAAAAAATTTACTTGATTACTTTTGTTTCACAGGGTTTCTCTGAATACAGGGAAAGGAGAACATTAATTTGAATAACCTAGGAGAAAAATCCACTTTGTCAAGTTTGGCCAAATTAGCCTTTAGAGGCAGATTGCAGTGAATGCAACTCCAGGGGAGTCCAGAGGAAGGGAAAATGTAAAATATGAGCAAATGACTGTACTAAACAGACATTCATAAATATTAATCAAATCAAGAATACAATTGACCCACCATTTCTAATACCTTTCCCAAAGAAAACAAAATCTGTGAAAAATAGACATGTTTCTCTGAATATAAGTAATTGTTAGTGCTGATCTGAAATACTTATACGTAGATGCCCAGTAGGGTCTGCAGCCATGGCTTTTTCCAGGGAAAGGGAACTGTGCAAAATTGCAGCTGGTTTGGACAAGCCATCCTGTAATCTGGTAGGACAGTGTCTCTGAAGGAAGAGGTTGGTCTCCTTTCACGGATTACCTGGAGAGCTGATGGAGCCTCCAGAACCTTCCCAGGATCAGGGTCAGTGATCTTTTAAGGGGAAAGAAGAGGGGCCAAGATCAGATAGTCATGATTTACATAGTGACAGATCTGAGAACTCAGTCCCAAGGCCAGGTTTAGTTGTTAGAGATGTTTTTAATGATTACATTGCCAGTGAGCCCATTTCTTACAATTTTCCAGGACTTGAGACTCCCTCAAGGTGGTGGCATATTTATAACCTATTTCAATGCTTTCTTCGTCCTGAATGCCTGGCTGGGTGTTGAACAGCATCTACTACTTCCTTGTCTGGAGACTCTGATTGCCCGGTACTGCTAACCAGCCTAGCACATGGGGGTAGCTCTCCCTCGGGAAGAAAGGCAGTATGTGTGCCTGTGGTGCCGATCGCCAGCACGTTTTTCTTCAAGTCAATGGAACACTGATGTCTCCTGAGCAAATCTAGTCCTAGAAGCATGTCCATGGGTTGCTCCTCGAGTATAGAGAAAGAACATTGTAAGAAATCACCTTCAATTTGAATCTGTGCTAGATGAATGCGGCCAATAATTCTCTGGGTGCCCACTCCTTTAGCAATCCCAGCCCATCGTTGGTCCACCAGCCACATCATATTACATCTCTCCACACAGGCTTGGCTCATGATGGTCATCTGAGACCCTGAGTCAACAAAAGCCTTCAAAGGATGTCCATTCACTTTGCAGTTAATATAGAGCATGACAACTTGTCCGAAACTCTCTGGAGCCTCTTCCATCGCTAAATTCAAGTTTTCCTCAATGTTCTGCTGCCGGATTTCTTCTTCTATTCTGGCCTGTGCCTCCAAATCAAACGGGTCTGAAGAATAGAGGTGAAGCTTCTCTTGATCTCTCAAGGCCCTTTCCCTTTGCTGCTCCATCAGGACCTGAGAAAATGTCTCAAGGTTTCCACTGAGTAGGGCTTCCGCCAAACAGGGGTTGCGTTCCTTCAGCAGGGACAGATGGTGGGGACTGGAGAGCAGCATGCTTCGGACCAAGGCGGGGCTGTCGAGGCCTTGTCCAGCTGTCCCCCTCTCACTGGAGCTCGGGCCATGGGCCTGCTGGGCCGATGGTGTACGCTGGTGCTGCGGCCCGCTGCTGGATGTCCCAGGTGTGGCCATGTCAGTGAAATCAGTTTGAGGCGGGCCTGACATCGGTCCAGTTGGCCGAGGTCCCACATTCTCCTTCTGAAGTAAAACAACAACATCGCCATCTTTGAGGCCATAGGAGCCCAGGGAACAGTAGTCGTCCATGAGGAGTCGCTCCATGTAGACGATCTGGATTTCCTCTGCAGGGACACCAGACTGGAGCTCACAGAGGACGCGGAAGGTGTGGAGCTCAATGTCAGGGCTGACTTGGAGGGAGAAGGTGACCTCGGAGAGGTCGCTCCGCACACAGTGCACAGTGACCAGCATGGTGTGGGCCCAGGAGGGCCAGATGGGCAGAGGGCGTTGGTTGTTCACAGGCTGACCGGAGCCGGTCTCTGCTGAAGGCTCGGCTGCTCCTCAGGACCTGGTGTCTGTGTTTGGGCCCATTCGCCTCTCCCAGAGGCACCGCCACTCACCTGCCAGCCCAGTGCCTGCTGCTTTTCCGTGGAAGCTGCTGTGTTCCCGGGTTCATTTGTCTAGGTGTTGTTGGGAACTTGGAATGCCCACAACCATAGAAACAAAGTCCATTAGATTCTAAGGCTGGCCCTTCAAAGCCTGTTTAACCCATAATATGAAAAAGATTGTTTCAACTCTTCAGCAACATATTAACCTTCATTTTGTTCATTTGAGAATTGTACTCTCTGTACTGTTACTTATTTCCCCAAACAGTGAATGCATGTTTCCTAGATGGCAAGTATCAGGCTATGTGCTTGCTTGGTGTGAAAGATAGCTCACGTGGCATCTGTCCTTGATGACCTCACACTGTAGCAAGAGGTTGTCGGGGAAATGGGTGAATCACAATACTAGATCACAATACTTTACAAGACATATTTAGAAATGGGTGAATCACCATACTAGATCACAATACTTTACAAAGACATATTTAGCATTCTAAGTTAAAGAAGAAACAAGTGGATCATTGAAGGTTGAGGACTGTCCATGTGAAACATTTGTGACAAGGCCTGTTTTTTCCAGAGAAAAGTGAGACATTCATTGTAACAGGAGAAATTTGTATGTGAATTTGAATGACAGGATATGAAGCTGGAATAAATGATTGGAGCCAGTTTATAAAAAGTCATGCATAAATCCAAGGAATTTAAATATTACCAATAAGCAAGAATACTCCCTCAAAAAAATATATAAAAAAGGAGAGAACCAAAAGAGAAAAAAGAGAAAGGAAAGGAAGTGGGAAAGATTTGAATCAGGTAATTGTGGTTTTTTTTTTTCATTTAATCAAATTAAGGAAGCAATTTCTTGTGACATTTGAAGGGCCAGGTAGAAACACTTTCTGTATGGCTCAGAGAGGGAACTGTTGCTATAGTGTGAAAAGTTAGGGACAACTAAAGTGGAAGCAGTGGGGACTAAAAGTGTTTGTTGAGTAGAATGGACAAAATGTGTTTATCCATTGGATGTGGGAACTGCAAAAGAACCTTGTATGGGTAACTCATTACGTTGAGCCAGTGAGTGAGAGATGAATCTTTGAGACCAGTTTGACATCAGTTCTGTAGTAAAATACATCATTAATGTCCTGGAGGGCATGTAAGCCTCCTCTCTGACCCTAGGGCACGGCACTCCCCACGCCCCCACCTTACACCAGAGCGGAGGCTCACAGCGTAAGGATGAAGAGGTCCTTCAGGGAAAATGGCAGTTGGGTCGAATCCTTGAGAGCCAGTTCTGTTCCTCTATATTTCACTGTAAAGAGCTCGAGCCTCTCTGGCTTGGACTTTCCACCCACATATGTTTACTTATGAACCGAAAGATAGTCAACACCCTCTGCCTTGTCTCCCCTCTTTATTTCAAGTTTTCAACAAAGAACTACACCATTCAGAGAGAAGGATATTGCATTAACCTAAAGTTTTTTTTTGCTTTTGTTTCTCATATTTGTCTCAGATGAAGGATTGGATCTCACTCATTACTCTAACAGGTTTTTACACTTACATTCTTCTTATATTAGAAATGTTGACTGAATGTCCAATGTGTGTGAAAGGTGTGCTAAACTCTGGGGATACACACATGATGAACAATAAATCTAGGCTTGTTCTTACAGGAACTTAGAATCTAAAAGAGCGCACACAGACACAAAGTTGGGGGTTAAAAAGTACTGTCGAAGTCAGCACAGCACAGGAGAAGTGAACAAATGTGGAGAACAAATACTGAATGTAGAGAGGGCTGTCAGGCAGAGGAGTCTTCCCCAAGGAGCTGGGCTTAGATAAGAAAAAGCAGCCGTGTGGGCTGGGCCAGGGCGGAGAAACAAAGGCCTGGAAAGCAGGGCCTGACCGAGAGCCTTTACCTAGAGAGCCAGCACTTCATGATAGGGAGGATTTTATAAAATTGTAGGGAATAAAACCTACAATTAAAGTATTGTAATTTTCCTGATTATGAATTATTGTAGAGCTATTTTTCACTATTTATAGACATGGATGGTCCTTGACCCAACAATATTAAGTTAACAAAGGTGGTTAGTTGTTCTGAGCATCCTGATGAGTTCATGAGAGATCAATGTTTTCTCCTGAGATTGGGGCATTTATAACGTGAAACGTGTCACGTGCACATTACTCTGCGCAGATGAGCAGCCAGTGATGCTTAGATTCAGTGTTCTTTCCCACCCATCCCACCAACCAGTTTTGGATAGTCTGTTCTTAAAATCTTAATAAATTCAGAAGTAGTATTAGGGGGTTTGTTTTTTTAAACAGTGAATGAAACTACTATAGAATAAGCTTTGTTTTTTTCTTTTTTGGCAAAGCAAGAATTCAGGGTTCACATCACAAGAAGCTATCATCTTTTTATTTCATTTACCATTGCCTTGATGCTGAACATAATTAAGCTTTACATGGTTTGTTGTATTATCTTGCTGTAATTCTTTACTTTTAGTGGCATTTCACATTTTTGTGCTTTTTACTATTTTACCCTTTACTGAGAATGCACAATGGAAAGCAAAAAGCCTCAAGTTCTGGCCAGTTAACTGTTATGGTCCCTTAGACCAGAAGACGGCAGGATTGGTAGGGCATTTTTGGGTCTGCTGGTCCAGCCACCCATCCAGGCCTCAACCTCTGTTGCAAAACAGCCTGGAACCTGAAAAGATAAACACAGCCTCCTGGGGCAGTTTAGCACTTCTATTTATAGTTTGATTCTTTCATTCCAGTCATCACTATTGGTGGTTAAAATGCCATATGTATAATTATCTTACCTCCAAATCTTAAATACAAACCTCGTCTGATTATGTAATAAACTTGGAGACCATTTGGTTTATATGTGAAGACTCCCACATATAAAATGTTCTTACATCGTAAGTTCCCAAAGTTACATGCCACTGAGAAATGGGCAATCTGAATTATCTAGGTGTGCTAATCTAGGTAACTGAAGGTTGTTGTAACTTTTCTCGGTGTTCTTTTCTTTTTTGTTATTTTTGTGAGTGTGTGATGTACATTCTCTTTCTTCCTTGGTGAGTGTAATATAGGAACATAATTGGATCTTTCTGTGATAAGTGAGACTCCCGCAAGGTCTCAGGGCTATCACTCAGAAAATCAATTCTCATTGTATAGCCTAAATACCCAGAAAATAGAAAAGATGACACTGATTTCATACTGGCCAAGTAAATAACCCCAAAGATATCTTTTGGAATAAATCCACAATAATACCTTTTATAATTTGCCTCTTTGTGAAAACTTAATGCAGCAAAAAATCAAGATAATTGATGCTTCCACTTAGTTCAGTCAGTTGATGTTTAAAATTCCATCTCTGGCTTTCCAGAGTAAAATAAACGTCTTTTCTGTGAGAGAAAAAAAATAGCTGCATAAGTATTATAATGTAGTATATGCAATAATTAAACCATGTTAAGCAAATATATTAATTTGCTGTGTTTGGATTCCTTTCTTTAAGTATGTGCCTGCTGCTGCTATTAAAAAAGTATAATCAAGACTTACTGAGACAGTTAAATAATTGCTTGAGATTCTCAATGCACCTTAGGAAAGATGCAGAATATTTAAAGCCATATTTATAGTTTAAACAGCTAGTTTTCCCACTGTTCTTCCATTTCTTTTGCAATAATACCATAAATTGTGCCACAACTGTCACAGATGAATAACATTTATTTCTTCAGATAGTTAATTATTTAATAAACACATGAAAAATGTTCTAATGAAAGTTTAAGCTTTTATTAGTATGTTTGGAGGTCTCTAAACATATGAAAAGTTTTAGTATGCCATCTTAGAAGCTTGAACACCATAAATATATATTAGAAGTTTGAAACCTCTTAAATGTATAAACAAATATTAAATCTGTAATTGAAGAAACTCATGAGACCCACGAATTTCATCAGCATCAACCTGCTGAGAACTCAGCCAGTGATTTTTCCTCGTCGTAAGGAGAAGGAACATGGACAGAAAACCAGCCCCTGGTCCACACGCATACATAAAGAGAGAGCACGACCAGGTGCAGATTCAGTCAGGACATGTTTTCTCGAACTTTAAACATGCAATTTAAAAGGTTGTGTCATTTTTTGGTGCATTTTATTGTTATATTTTATAGATGGGTGTTTTAATATTTTATCAAGAAAAGAGATGCATTTTAAGTCCTATATTGCATGTTGAAAATAATCTGATATTTTAGCTCTTGCTTTTTCACAGTATATTCTTTCCATGTGTGTATTTGCTTATTTTTAAGAAAGTTTACTGCTATTATTTTACGACTTGTGGTCCCTTCCAATGTCTTAATCGTATAAAAATTATTTCAGTCTTTGGAATTAATGCCTTGTTATTGAAAATTTGAAGTTTACTTATAATTTGTGAGGGAAACATTTATAGATTTATGAATTTAGTGTAACAAATTAAAAACAGAATGAAGTTATGGCTTCGTGGTCTGTCAGTTACTTTTTTCTTACTTTTCAATGTACCTTAGAAGAGGAGTGTTTTAATTTTCCTATTCATTCTGTGAAGGTAGAGTGTAACCATGTAAGGTGAAATAGTAATTCAGTATATTCTTTCCATGTGTGTATTTGCTTATTTTTAAGAAAGTTTACTGCTATTATTTTACGACTTGTGGTCCCTTCCAATGTCTTAATCGTATAAAAATTATTTCAGTCTTTGGAATTAATGCCTTGTTATTGAAAATTTGAAGTTTACTTATAATTTGTGAGGGAAACATTTATAGATTTATGAATTTAGTGTAACAAATTAAAAACAGAATGAAGTTATGGCTTCGTGGTCTGTCAGTTACTTTTTTCTTACTTTTCAATGTACCTTAGAAGAGGAGTGTTTTAATTTTCCTATTCATTCTGTGAAGGTAGAGTGTAACCATGTAAGGTGAAATAGTAATAGTAATGATAATAGGGCATTATGTTTTGAAATCAGCTGCAATTGAGGAAAATCATTCAAACCATTTATTGTTTACTCTTTTATAGTAAAT